TATATATATATATATAGTGCAAATATGCAGTATCTGCTGGACCTGCATCGAATGATGCTAAGCCCTCTAAAATGCAAATAATATCTACAATCTCTCTGAAACTTATAAGTAACAAACTTTGATCAAAACCTGTAAAGAATATTATTTTCTGGCCTGATTTAAAAGAAATAGCAGTTTCATTGACTGCTATAACAAAATTTTAATCCGTCATAATATTTTCAGACCCTAATAATTTCATTGTCGCTGATTTCATCAATAATTGATCCACCCAAAATCACTCGCTATGACAACTTTTGTGATTTAAGCTTCACTGGTCATTGGTTTTTTAAAAAGAGCTTTTTCTTCTAAGAGAATGCAGCACTTTGAATAATTAGTTCATGATGACACACTTTGGTTTCCAGGTATTACTACATGAAGAAGACTCCGCATTTTTGAGCAGTACAGTATGAAACATATCGATTATGAAATGTTGGAAGTAATATGGAAGACTGTAAGTTAAGGTATAAATCTGCTTAGGAAATTCAAGCAGGGACAACAGTTTGAAGTATATGATGCAAACTGGCCTAATATATATCACAAGATGTTAATAACAGTTTAAGTGCAATCTCTAAACTCATTTTGTTCTTTTTTCAAATGAAAAAAAAGGGTTCGTTTTACCACAGAGCTGCACCTTTGACCCCTCTCTCAAACATAGAGGGCTGATTTTTGAAGCCAAAGTTTGAGATTCATTGTTAGAAACCTTTATTTATTCAGGTAGCCTCATTGACACATATGTTCTCATTTACAGTACAGAAGAGATCTGTTATGCAGCTTCAATAAATAAATATTTTACACATATAAGTCTTTTTCTATTAATATTATTTTAGAAAGATATGATATTTATTCTGCTTTAATCTTTTTGAAAAAAAACATTACATCATTTATAATTGGGTAACCTTTTGTGCTTGGATGTATAAAAAATACACATACTGTATAAGGAATAATCTATCTTAAAAATAAAATATGTATAATTGTTTTGCTTTAAGTATAATTTATAGAGGTATCTCTTTCCAATAATCAAGAAAACAATCAAGAAAAAGGAGGATTTCTAGTAATGTGGAAAAAGCCCTTTATATAAATATCAGGAAATGTAACTTGAGTTATTTCATAAACCGTTACAAAGCCAATCATGTCTCTATTTGTGTAAGCCCAGTTGATGTAACTACAACAGTGTATAAAAGCCAAGAAAGGGTCCATCATTATAACGGGAGAATGATTCTAACAAACAAATTGTATTCATGACATAACAACTGAGAAATTAGTACAGTAGCATATTAACTAACTAACCTGCAGTGCATTCTTATTAGAAACCTATTGGTCTGTATTTCCTCTTCTCCAAATAATAAAACTGATCAACTTTATGTCAAGCTCAAATATGCTTTTAGCTTGAGTTTTGTTTTGTTTTTGAAATTTCTTGTCTTAACAGAACAGACAGAATATCCTTTCTCCTAACTTTTAAATGCTTCAATTAAGACCACCGATTTCCATTTATCAATCTTCAGGGTTGCAGTGGGGCCAGTACCTATGTCCTGTGTAAAGTGGGGTACACCCTGGACAGGTCGCCAGCCAGTTTCTCTGTGGGAAGAAGCCGGAATACCTAGAGAGAACCCACATGCAAGAAGAGAACATGCATACCTTGGGCCAGGAATTACACCCAGAACCTTCTAGCTGCAAGGCCACAGTGCTCTAAGCTGCACACAGTGCAGCCCACAGTGCAGCCCACAGTGTTCATTCTTAAATAAGACCAATGCTTTCTTTCCATATAACACCTTCTTGAAAGGAACTCACAGATTTGTTATACAATGAAAAATTCATCCATATTCTCCGACTTGTCCTGTCCTGTCAGGGTCGCGGAGGGGCCAGTGCCTGTCTCTGGCAGTCTATGGGGTATATACCCTCGACAGGTTCCCAGTCTGTCGCAAAGCAACAGTGAAAAATCGTATTAACATTTTTTTTAAAAATAGGTTTTGACTCATTAGTTTTAAGCTTTGCTGAAGATAGACTCTTGTATGCACCCTGATGCTCTATCTTTCTGGTTCTTTTCCCTGAAAAGAGATCACTCAGGACAAACTCTTTAAATAATACTTCATAACTTATATGTATTAAAAAACAAGGAGACATGACATGAGATTCTGGTAGAAATTGTAATCTTACTCAGATCAGAGAAATTGCTTAGAATGCACAGGAAGCAGCTGCTCACCTCCGGCCTCATCTCTCAGGAAGTGGCCCCGATTAACAGTTAAAAAGGCTTTTATACATCTTCAGTCTGCCACATCATCTTATTTTACATCATACATCATTAGCAGATGATTAGACATCCATGACTTCAGCCATATAAAAATATTACACTTCGTTCTACGCTGAAGGACACCGCACTTATTCCTTTTCCAAATCTTTGCCACATACAGAATAAAGATTATAACTGTATATCCAGAGAGAGGAACTGTCTTAATTAGATTAAAACAGCACTACTTACACGCAACAGGCAGCCAATACCAAGGTGTTATAAACTCACACATTTTCAACGAAAATTATCCCAACAGCAATGACACATTATTTTCTGTTGTATTCTCTAATCCAATCTGTTCCAGAGAAGGCTTATGAATTCACTTCCACTGCAGTTGGTCAGTACTTATATTCAACAGAACCCAGAATAACATGCTGCAGTGTTCTAAATCAGTGCAATTAGTTTCCTCTCCATTTTACACCCAAATCTCTTCCATAGCTACTGTATGGCAAATCATTTTCTGTCCTGTTGGATATACACTCTTTAATGGGATTATCCCACAACCCTCAGTGCTCCTATTTCCCTCAACGTCCTTCTCACTGGAATGCTTTTGATCTTTTCCTTAGGAGGAATTAATCTCAAACCTACTCAGCCGTAATGATTCAATTAACCAAGCGGATGTGTTTTTTTAGTTTGTTGGTTAAAATTTAACGTCAACAGTTTCAAAATGCAAACTGGATGCCATTGAACATAACATAGATTATTATTTGTTTATTGCAAGAAGCTCATAAGACACATTTATTTGTTAGATTGATGATCCGGTTTTTTCTTTTTATTTAACATCCCTATGACTTAAAGGTGCCTATTTCTAATGAATCCATAGTAGCCTAATGAATCCATTAAGCCAAATATTAATATTTTGCCGCCCTCTACCATATCAACATGTTATTAAACATGTTGATATGGTAGTTTGGTTGTTCCTAAAGGCACCAGGTAGAAATCTGTGATAAAAGGTCTCTTTTTTGCCATGTGATGATAAATAATTAGGGAGAAGCAAAAAACATGGTGAGAGTAGAATCACATTTCAAACATGAACTTACAGCTATAGTTAAAACATAACAGGTACAGAACTTAAACAGTGGAGAACAGGACAGGGGACATGGGCAGAGTAACAAGAAAAACAAGCAAAGAACAATGTAAGGCTCAAATTCAGTTGAGTTGATCTGTCAGGGTTAGGTGGAGGATTTTGAGGACTGAAATGCATAGAAAAGGAGGCAGAGGTGAGTCTTAAAGATTTACTGAGGCATAAAAATCCAAAGTACAAAAAATACAAGGACCCAAAAACCAGAAAACTTCAAGGGAAAACTCATGTGGGGAGTGAGAGATGAGAAAACAGCAAAAACAACAACAACAACAACAACAAAAAGACTCTAGGAGACTGTTTAAAACACACCCTATGGCAAATTTCAAAATAAAAGCCTCCCATTGCCACTTCATCTACTGCCCTAATAACATGGAAAAAGAGTGATTTAATGATTGGAAAGTCATCAACTATCATTGCTGGGTCTGACCCTTTCCTCAACACAGAACCCTGATGGACTTTCAAAATAAGACTCCAGGGACCCTACAAAATAAAAAGCCTCTAGATTATACTGATGCAAATGGCTCAACATTATGACCCAAACTCCACCAGGGTTTTTTCTATATGACTCTAGTGACCTTTTCAAAACACACTCCAGAGCGAATTTCACAATAAAAGTCTCCCATTTACACTGTAATACAGTATCTATTCACTTAATAACATGGAAAACCAGTGATTTAACATTTGGAAATGGATTCTATATCACTGCTGGGCATGACCCATCCCTTGAAGCACACCCATGATAGACTTTCAAAATAGGACTCCAGGGACTCTACAAAATAAAAGCCTCTTTCTTATATGCACTCATTCATTGTGGCATATAGCTCATAGCCATGACCCAAACTAAATCACTTTCTTTAAATTACACTATCAGGGCCTTTTGACAAGACACCTCAGTGTGCCTTTCTGAATAAAGCTCTTCCATTTCCTCTGTAGTAAAGCATCTGCTAACCTCGTAGCATGCAGCCTAAGCCTGCCAATTGTGCTTTCACCACTATATTGCTCATAGCATGCGGGCTTAGCCCAAAAGTGCTGCTATCATCACTACATTGGCTTGTAGCATGTGGCCGGAGCCCGCCAATGGTGATTTCACCACTGCAATGGCTCTTAGCAGGCGGGCAGAGCCCGCCAACTGATCTTTACCCACTGCAGTTCAATATGGACAACCCATATTACCCTTGTGCATCATACGCTGTGCACGTCTATTTCCCAGATTTCAGCCAAAGTGGCACACAGCTCTCTGTGCCCATGGGCTTGCCCTCTCTCCTTCCCTCAGCAGCCCTCAATGTCGGTCTGGGGAGCCCCAACATCATTTGTCAGGGCCGCATTGGCCCGGTTTCCCGAACGGGCAGTAGGTGGCCCCCCTCAAAATTTCTTTAGAAATTTTCTAGTATTATGCTACTGTTTGATGTAGGAGCATTTCAATCTATCATACAGCTACGAATGTTGGTACAATTACCAACACTCGAAGCTACATTAAAAAAGTTACATTTTACAGTTTTACTGAATACTTTTCAGAATAGCACTAAGTAGCCTGTTAATACCTGTACTTTTATTAAATGATATGAAATCTCTGAGCCAGGATTTAATATCTCCTTTACTGCCATCTACTGCCTTGTGCTTTTGTCTTCCTTTTAAGGCCTTTCTGCCTTGCCCTTTTAACTTCATTTACCATTTTACAAAAAATAGTTGTACATTCTCCATGATGTCCTTAATTTTTTTGAAGAATTATTCTTTGTAAAAAACATTCACAGTGAGAAGAGTCCAGAGAAAAGTCAGCTTTATTTGTGAGGTCAATGGGTTTATTTAAGTTCAGAATCAGAATCAAATTTAGTGCCAAGTAGGTTTGCACTTACAAGGAATTTGACTTGGTGTTGATGGTGCACACAAATTAGATATATTTACAGAATATAGAATCCATAGTTATATACAATATAAATGTACCACATATAGTATATAGCTATGTACTATATACACAGTGGCTGTGCATTAATGTAACACAGGATGTCTGGAGGAGCTATGATGGTGTAGCTTCTTAATGCCTCTGATGCTATTACCCCCAAAGATTATGGCAGAGGGATTCACACCCTCCATAACAGATATTTAGATATGGTCAGAGGGCCTTGTATAGCACTATATGGCAGCCTTGCTTCTGTTAATCTGCTCCAAGGAAGCTCTGGCTACAATGTAGCTTTGCCAATATTACTGTGTTAATTATTGAAAAATAATAACACAGAATAGGAATCGCGGGCTGCGGAGGATAAGCGGACCGCAGTGGCTCCAGGGGGGGTTGGGGCGCCACCCATCACTGGCAATCTGGGTGTGGGAGAAACACAGGTTACCTGGTTTAACAGTTCAGTCCATTCTCTCCTAGGAAGGCAAGATCCAGTCAATGGACTACCAAACAAGATGTGGCTCAGAGTTGTCAAAAGTGTCCCCAATGCAGTAATCCCAGTGAGCAGGCAGGAGACCAATCCAGGTCAGAGAAACAGTTCAGAACTGGACAGTTCCGAGGTCAAGGAGTCCATGGCCCGACCAGGGGTTCCACCCCGAACAGGAACCAACAGATCCAGGGTTCCAGGAATCCTCAGAGCGTTCAGGGTGGTTCAGAGTTCTGAGTCCAGCATCGAGCTCAGACAGACACGCTCAAATGAAGACAGGCAGGCTCAGTAGTAGAGGGGAACATAGACACAACCAGGAGACAGGAGACAAACACCAAACCCTCTTAATTCACTGGCTTCCAAGACTCAGGACATGAACCAGGACCCTAACTCTAATGGAACAAACATAAATAACTGACACAAAAACATAACACAAATAAACAAAGAATAGACAAATAAACTAAGAAATAGATGAATAATGATCTGGCCCCAATAGCTGGGCTGAACCTTATATATAGCAGAGGAAGAAGGTGAATAAGATCAATGATAATTAGAGAGCAGGGAGGCAACAGCAGGTGAATGAAGTGAGTAATTAGATAAGCTGCCATCATGACAGTGAATGTTTGCATGAATTAGTGAATGGATTAACGTAGTTGTGCTTTGGGGCTCTTGGACTTGTAAAGAGTGTTATAAAACCAGGCCATTGGCCATTTAACATACAGTCTCTTGGTGCTAACACTAAAACATTAAAGTTTGTTAAGAGTTCAGCCCTTTTAGTCTAAAAAATATTCTTGTGCACATTTAATATAATCATAGCATCTATAAAATAAATCCTGATCTCATTTAGGTTGAAATTACTGCAGGAAAGATTCTGTTTTAAAACACAGTCCGAACACACTTACCCTCTTTGTGGTTAACTGTTTCCCACTAATAGCATTAACAGATCGACTGCACGTCATTAATCTGCTGCCAGAAAAGGAAGACAGATTCAGCAATGCTATCTGAGCAGCAGGATATCAAAGGACTGCTTTCTTAGATAATTAAAACATTAATTCCTCCTGGCATGGTGCCTTTATTCATAAAGAAGGATCCGCCCTGGTATTTTCTTGTAAGCCTGTAAACAACAGAGTGGAAATGTGTGGTATTATTAGTCTACCTCTGTTGGACCTGTCTCCTGCTTCTCCGTCAATTAATGAGCTTGGCCTTTTGCTCCCAGATTAAATAGGTTGTGGATGTGAGGGATGAATGTCAGGGCAACCACACGCTTTCCAGCATTAATTGTGGTCTGGCTAAGATTAGTTTCTTTATTTTGTTTTGTTTTTTGTTGTTGTTTTTTTTTTCCCCAGAGAAGATTAAATATCACAATGGTTTATGGTTTCATTTAGGATCACCATGTGATATGATTCATTAGCTAAGACTGACCCACTGATCTGACTTCTAGCATTTTCTTAATTTCACTATATTTGCTTAACAGAAAATGTGAAAAGTGGCTACAGTTTAGGGTAGAACTGTAAATCCTTTCTCTGCTTTTATTATTTATTTATTTATTTATTTATTTATTTTTTAGGGACACATAACAGCAAACCTTTTCAGTGGTTTGGCAAATTATATTGTACTGCCAACTGCTACATCTAAACCACACCAACTCAATGTCAGAAGGATGCCCATCATTTGTCACTTTAATGAACATGCATTGACTGTTTCAAAATCCAGTTGCGGTATTCTTCGCAATGGCACATCGAACACTTTGAGTGATGCTGCCCAGCAATGGAAGCTTGTTTAAAAGATTGTTTAAAAAAACCTTGTGACATTTTGGGGTCTTTTGTAATTACTTCTGTAGACAGTTGGTAAACCTGAATCTCAGCATGTACTGACCTTACTTTGTACTCTGACTGATATACTAGTTTTCTTGCTTGTGTTCATTTAGCTAAATAAATAATACTGTAGTTGACTCTGGATAGTTGAGATGTATTGAAATCATATCAGAGATCTAGAGTTTGTGAGAATGATTCATTCTTCTAATATGTTTATAGAGGCAGTCTGGTGCTTGATTTTATACACCTGTGGCCAATTGATCTTGAACATTGACCACCATTTAAGATTTCCCCATTTATGATTGAAACAAGTAAGCACAATTGTGTAGTTGTGTAAAGCAATGTATTATAGTGAGGTAATTATGAAAAATACCAGCTAAGTTGAAAAAAAAAGACCATAATAACTCGGGTCATTTTTTCTTTTTTATTATTTTAATCAGGGTCCATGTACATGTATCAGTTGTATTGTGCATGGATTGTACAGTTAGTATGGTTTAAAATATTATAAGAGCAGGAAATTAAACAATGAACCAGAGGAGCATTTGTTCTTCCTCCATGTTCCAAGGGGAGATGTTTACTTCCTGAACTGAGAGATTGGGGAAGGGATCTTGATGTCCTGACCTCTCTCAAGTCTCTTCTCACACTCAATAAGGTAGTTGACGCCATCAATTACTAACTGTACCAGCTCGACCTGCAGAGGAATCACATATAGAGTATTTCAGAGGGTGTTTCTTTCTGTAGCAATGATTACTTTTAAACCACTCTTAATATAGATGTTTCACTTTATCCCTGAGGTCCAAAAGTATGTTGAATTCAAGTGACTTTATGAAGAACCTTTTCCCCTATATTTTAGGGGGGAAATAGTATTTTAATACTCATCCTTATCTTCTATAACTGCAGTCTGAGTTGATATTGCTTTGAGCATTGTGGAATACATTTAGATGAATATAGCATTTCCTTTAATAAGTAGTTATGAGAAATTATGTATCATTCTCTGAGATCAGCATTCCACTGTTTTCTGAGAAGATAGAGCCCTGACCTTCCACATTTATGATATTTTTTAAGTGTTTGATTAGTAAAGCCTACAACCACACAGTCTAATTAGATATTTTTCACTACTGATTGAGCAATGGAAAAAATAGTCTTTTAGCCTAAAGAGGCACTTCCCTGCCAGATTTAGAAGTTAAAGAGCAGGTAATAAGGTTATTCCCAGCCAACACCTGCTTGCAATGCAAAATTACCTACAAATCAGTATAAAATGTCTTAAAATAAGTGTATTTAACTTTAATTTGAGTAGGTGGATAATATTATCTGCCTATGTAATTAGTATTTTTACCCTTAAAATAAGACAAATAGATGTTATGAACTTTAAATATGAGACTGCATTCGTTTTTTTTCTTATTTTAAATGCAAATTGTTTCATTCCATTTGCAAAGTCTCTCACTTACCTGCTCATTTCAAGTAAAAAATACACTTAATTTAAGAAAAACTGAATTACTTAGATCTAATTTTTTTGCAGTTTGCAATCTGTACACTGACCTCAGTCTGCACTGTGAAAGTGATCTAGAAATAAGCAAAATGCTCTTAAATTAAGTGTATTTATCCTTAATTTGAGTAGGTCAATAAGATGATTGACCAATGGAAAGAAAAATTGATAATTAAAATAAGATTATTAGACAGTATGTAACTGAAATACAGCACAGATGTTTTTTCCTTATTTTAAATGTAAATTGTCTCATTTTATAGGCAATAAAAGTGTCTCACTTATCCGCTAAAATCCAGAAAAATGCACTTAATTTAAGAAAAATTGAATTACTTAGATCTCTTCTTTTTTTTCAGTTTGCGATCAGACCTCAGTCTGACTATACTAGCTGCTTTCTGGCTTTTAACTTTTTAAAAGTTTTACCTCTGATTTTCCCAGACGGTCGAGGTTGGAGATGTCGAAGGTGTCTCCAGTGGCAGCAGTGTCCACTCCCCCTGTTCCTCGCTTCTGTAGTCTCAGATTCTCAAGGATTTTTTTAAAGCGGGCGTCCTACATTTCAACCAGTACATAATCTTCACACATCAAAGCCTTACATAATGGGGTAAGAGGTACTTGTGCAATACTTGTCCAACCTTGCTGAGAAGTGGCAGGCGAATGTGCACACCAGCCCTGAGCCCCGTGCCGAGGTTAGAAGGGCAGGTCAGGATGTATCCCAAACGTTCGTTCCACATGAACTCCCATCCTCTCTCTTGAATAAGATGCTCCACCTTAAGATTACAAATAAGTGTATTGAATAAAATTAAAATTTTAAAAAACAACCTCCATCACATTGTTTAAAAATAAAGGATTTTAAAGAGTTAAAGGTGTTTACTGTGCGCAAAGAAGCGCAAAGAAGTAAATCTATTTCAGACCTGTTTAAGGCCTCTGCAAAACCTTTCAAACACTCGCTTCATATTTCCTCCCTTCTCCATGGATATGATCCTGGTGTGATCCTCCTCATTAATCCAGATCAAGAAATTTTTCTCATTGTTGTGCCTGAATCACATAAAAGAAATCTTGATTTGCACCTCGTCTGTGAATAGTTAATAAGAAACATCGGTTGCATTACTCGCCATTACGTTAGATTATTATTAAAATCACCTCTATAGAAGAGGAAAGAACACATTAACCCTAAAGGAGTATCTTCTAATCAGATTATTATCAGTAAGTGAGAATAATATCTTGTGATGTGAATTTACACCAAATGTATAAACAGGTTTGGCCTCCTTTTAACTCCAGCCATTGAGACCCAGCAAAGAAAAAACATTCAATGTCATCCGATTACTTGCTTCAAATTGGAGTTTTCCTAATGGTTTTAGTCGCAGAGGGCTAGATTCTGATGGAAACAGTTGATATCGATTGCTCGTTAACTGACAAATTACTGCAACAGTACCAATAAACACTGCTACTCAAAATGGTAAAAGCTACATCTAAACTGTTTTCAAACAAGAAAAACAAAGAGAAAAGGTTTTAAATAACTTAACAAAAGATTATAGGATTACAAGTAAGTTATTGGTTTCTTGTATTGTCAAATATCGGTGCTGCATCGGTATGAAATTGGTTAAAAGGAACTTTAGATGGCATAATTTGAACAATTACATGATGGCCTTATCTGGTGTGTAAATATATGTACAGCACAGTTTATCTTTGGATAGAAATTTGACCTGTACTGCTCTTAGATGTATTATGCAGTGTCAGGTTAAAGTGGGGAAACACTGTAAGAACAAGTACATGAATGAGCTCCTAGATATATTCCATAATATAAACTAATTCTATTAATATCAATTGAAGATCCAATTTAGACCTAAAAGGCTTTTAATCATTTTGATTTATTATTAAATTCAATTGGTAGCTTTTACAGATGCCAAATGTAGGGCCAAGCAAACTTCATACAAATCCATATTGTGTCAACATATGTTTAGATATTTACTGAAATAAGATAAAAGATATAAGGCTGAGCTTGAAAAGGCAGGATTTCCTCTAGACTGTTACATTTTACTTACCAGATACCACGAGCATCAGGCCAGTCTCTGGCCATCCCTGCTGCAGTGAGCAACGGTGATACAGGTTTATCAAACAGGAAGTGCTCCTGATTGGCCGGTGAAGGAAGAGAAGAGTTAGTGAAAAATACTAGACAGCATGTTTCATAAAAGATCATGACCAAAAGCAGCAATGTCCTTGTTTGAGTGTCAACTGACATCTATTAGTCGCTGTTGCTCTGCATCAGTCATCTCCCCCAGGCTGTAGTATCGACCAGCTAAGTCTTCTTTCAGGCCAGAAAGAGCTGTGACAACCACACGCTCCACCTCACGGCGCTCAGACCGTGTGCATGCAGGTGGAAGGCTCAGTCCACGAATGCTGCGTCCAGTGCGCACACGAGATGACAACACGTAGCGCTCATCAAACACTCCTGAGGTGATCTGAAAAAAGGAATCATAGGTTACTCTTTGTGGGAGTTTCTATGAAATATTAACAATTAGGAGTGCCACCTTAGAAGCATCCAGATCAGTGGGGTGCTTCATTGTGTGAGGATCGTATCCATTATGTCTGTCCTTAATGACAGGGTCAAAGAGCTCAGCAAAAACCTAATAGGAAGAGAAGAATTAAGCAAATATCCTTTGCTTAACAAAATTGGCAACAAGAAGTTGCTGGAGTACAAAACCAAACCTCGTAGCTTTCTTCATCCCCAGCCACCATGCCAACAGTCTTAATGAAGGGGTGCCCTGGGTTGTCCACCCCTGTCTGGATGCACTGGTCCAGGGTCCAGTTGTTGGGTGTTACCTTGTCCCTCAGGCGGGCATAAATGGTTGGGGTCATGGCTGAAGCCATGCAGTTGTTGTGCTTTCTTAGGTCTGGATAATCAGCACTGTAGAAATGCATTTTAAAAAGTTTGCTGTAAGCTGTAGCTTCAAAGAATAAATCAATTAGTGTATATCTATTTAACTAAAAGTATTTACTTAATGTTAGACTGAAGTCAAATCTAGTACTGCTTTACTCTGAGCCTTTTAAACAATATGTTTTCCAGAAATGCACCTGGGGGGATAAAACCTCCTCCTTTCAGCTGCAGCAGTGTTATCACTGAGGAAAAATGTAGATGCCAAAGTGCCTGCTCCCATGGCCATTATCATGGCTGTGTTGCGGCCGGTGATCATGCGGGTGAAAGAGTTTGCCATGCTTATTTGGTCAAGGTTACCTGGCAAAAAGCAAAAGGTCAAATTCAACGTTTCACAATTCCTTCAGCCCTTGAGTTAGATCACACTTCCCATTCAGCATGTATTAGAAATAACAAATCAAATGTTAGATCCTTAAATCATTTTGAAACTTAAATGAATTGTCCAACTAAGTCGCTGTAGATGAAACATATTATGAATTGTTTGGTAAAAACGTCAACTTTGGTGTATATTTGTGTATTTGTCTTGAAATGTGTCAAATCATTCAAATAGATGCCAGAATATTAGAGAATTATGTGTGTTATTTAAAATTGTTTTATATATTTAGAAAATATCAAAATTATTTTGAATATACACAGTCCGATGATTGGGATCATTTGCGGTTTCTTTAGATTATGTTGCCAAAAATATTATTATATGAGATTTTTGTGGTGCAATGCAAAAATGTTGAAATACCTTTGACTATTTTAGCACGAATGCCCATAATTGTGGAGACTGCATTCAAGTAATCAGGACATCTGTCCAGTTAGCTGTCTTATCTATGAATGTGTAGCTATTGACCCAGAGTGAAAGACCGTTTAAAGGCTCCGGAAACCTTTGCATGGGTTATCATTAATGTATTTTTTCAAAGTATTATCATTTTCTAGAATACTGAATTTTGGGTTTTCATTATCTGTAAGCTTAAAATTACGAGAAACAAAATTTCATAATACATAATTATGTGCAATAATTCTATCAGAGTTTCACTTTTTATTTTTATGCAACATGTCAATTTATTGAGATTTAGTTGTATAAGCCTAATATAAAAGCAAATAAAGAAAGAATAGGCACTTAGAGAATGGTTAGAACATTTAACATAAAAGTCTTTTTAAATTAAAGGTCTCTTAAGCTGTTTTTTAAAGGCATCAACAGAGTCAGCCACATGGAGAGATCAGGCAGGTCATCCAATAGCCTGGTGGGGGCTATGGTCAAAGGGACCAATCTCCTCAAGCATTATATTTTATTACAAACAAAGTAGGAGTGGCGAGCTAGTGGTTAGGGCATAGAGTTTGGAATCCTGAGGTTTTGGGTTCAAAAGACTGCCACGCTGGGTCTCTGAGCAAAGACCCTTAGCCCCACAATGCTCCCTGGGCACCGCAAATGGCAGCCCACTGCTCCCCAAGAGAGAGAATTTTGTTGTGATGTACTTGTGACAGTGTAATGACAATAAAACACTGGGGGGAGAGGCAGGTAAAGACACAGAAAAGAGTCAAGATGGCATGCCGTGTGTTAAAGGTTTTCATAGAGTGTAAGAGTCACTTAAAGTAAAATTCCCCCTAAAGAGATTGTTAAAAGGAAGATTAGTTGGGATTTGAATCTTCAAGGTTATACGAGGAGAGAAAAGAGAAGAGGGTGAGACACCAGTGCCCTGTGACCCTTGTTTAAATACAAGAAGTCAGCACTGTGTTTATTTATTTTTACATTGAACAGTTGTAAAACAATATACTAAGTTGAATCATATTAATCAAGTGTAGAAGACAAAAATGGAGGTTTGATAAAGATAACATTTCTTACAAATGTCAGCTAACAGATGGCTAACATGTGATCAGCAGGCAGCTTAAAAGGCTCTAATATAATTGGCTGCTGTGTAGACAGTGAGTGAGTTTATCCAATGAGCTACTTTCAGGTGAATGAAAGAGTGCAATCCTATTGAGTGCAGTCTATTCTGAAAATATTACCTTTCATTTATAATTAACATGTAAATCATCAAACTTTTAACACGCAGTGAAAAAAATATGATAACTGATATTGTGGGTGATTTAAAAAAATATATAGTTTTTATTTGTATTAATGGAGTAGTTATGGACTTATTTGTGGATAAGCACTTATTAAGTCTGGATCTATATCATGCTGCAAATGGGAGAGAAGGAAAGATAAATAAGCCAGTAGTGAGAATTTCAGGTGCAGATCACTTACCTTCACTCAGCTAAAAAGAGGAAGCGGTAGAAGGAGGCCAGAGAGTTTCCTGAAGCGAGGCTTGATCTGCAAAGTGAGTGCAGACTGAAGAATGTGAAGAGGATCAGCAACGGATGTAGCTACAGCTCCTGGATTAGCCTCTGCCAGGCCATCAGACGGAAAATCCTCTTTCCTCTGTCACTCATAATGTATGCCTTCTTGCTCAAGTTCTAGCTACTCTGAAACATGATAACTTCTGCTGTTTGCATAAACGAACTGAGAAAACATTACCGCACACCAAATACAGACCCACTGATTTATGCGTTTTCATTTATCATTCATTCCATTCATAACAAATCATTTCTGCTTCCAGAGTTGTTTCAATTTAGCATTAGCAATCAAATATAAGACAATTGTTATAATTAAGAACGTTACCAGGTAATTGTCAAAAGGACTTAGAATTAAAAACAAATATTCTTTGGTAAAACTGACATTACCTCTGAGTCTTTATTTTTTCAGATGTTTTGTTGTTTTTTGTTTAATTGTTAAATTATGTCTTAAGTTTTCATTAATTACAGAAGCTGATACATTGGGGTGTATAGCACTATAGCTTATTCCTTTTTATATATTTATAATTCTCCCTTTGTGTTTTATTTTTTAATTTATTTTATTTTATCTTATTTTTATTTTATTTTTTTGCTTAATAAGTCTTTTGTTCAACCTTTTTCTATGTTCAGCTCCCACTGGCCTTTTTTATTTACATAGAGTCCCCCATTTCACTCTCCATCACAGTTAAACCACATTCTCCCCATTACACTCAGGGGGGTTCAATGCTGAGCTGCATGGTGCTGCAAAGAAACACTGTTTCTTTGTAGCATGAAGGTTCTATGTTTTGTAACCCACAAGGTTCTTTCTGCATGGTGTTTGCATGTCCTTCCTGTGTCTGTGTGGGTTCTCACCTGGTACTCTGGCTTCCTCACACAGTCCAAAAACAGGAAAGTTAGATTCTTTGATAACTCTAAATTTCCCTGTGTGTTCCTTTTTGGCCATCTGAATGAGAACCAATTTTCTAATTTTATCAACAAAATGAGGTCCAATTGTTGTAAGCGAGTCCTTTGTTCTTGTCCTCACAAGCTATTTTGATAGGTTGTAGGTTTAGGGCTTAAGTTTGAATTCAGTTTAGGCTTAAGAATAAGGGGAATGCAGTGGTAATGGTTAGTTTTAAGGCATAGAAAGATTTGAAAATGACTGTGATCAATTGAGGTCAACAGTAGTCAGTTTACTGGTGACCTGACCAGAGTGTACCTTGCCTTTTGCCCATAGCCTGCTGAGAAAGGCTGCATCATTGCCATTTTCCATTCAACCAATGGTATATCTCACTTCTTTCATTTTGTTGAATTAAAATAATATTGAAAAAAGTGTTGCAAAAAACGAGTACAAATTGTGTGTAAGGCATTGAAATCTGTGAACCTCAAATAGTCAAAGGATTATCATCTTAAATATTCTCACATTAGGTAGGTAGGTAGGATTGCCCTTTTGTTGGAATGTAGTAAAGAGTTCAGCATGTTGAAGTAATGGAGCTTCTGCAGTGCCAAACGTAGGAGTCGATAATGCCATTATGGCAATTTTCTGTCTGAAAAGCTTTTTTTTTACAAAATTTTACAGCAAGCATAGATTGCTTTCAATTGATACTGTAGATTCGAAGCACTTCATTTGACCTGTAATTAAGACCCTTTAAGGCAGCCATAATAAAGCCTATATGTTAAATATTAGATGTAGCTACGGACTGTTTAATGAAGGTAAACATCCAAAAATGGTTTAATTATGCTGTCTGCTGGATTGCAAATGCGAATCCCTTTGCACCTTCTTTGTAAATTTGCTACAAGCATGTCTGCACCCGTTTTCACACACACAAACCAGTACAGAGACATCTAGGTTTAGTTATGCCTAAATATGGGTATTAATTTATTAGTCTGATGTATTAGTCTAACATTCTGAGAAATGAACTGTGTTGTGTTCATCAGCTTGAAACAGAGAATCATAACACGATCGAAGAGTTGTAACAGTCTTGTTTAATTATTCTATATAATGTGTTTATCATAGTGAGAAGCGTAACTGACATTAATTATTTAATTAATTATCTTTTCAAAAACTTTCCAATTTACAGAATATGTTAGTTGGGAAAAATAGGTGTGTTTATAAATAATTTTAGGTGTAAAGAAAAACAGTATTTTAAAGACTTAAGCATAAATTACAATTACTTGAATGTTTATATTTTCTTAGTTTCAACTCTTTAAAATTGCTTACTTGCCAATTAGGTGTATTACAATTAGACTGGGCTTACAAAGTGGATCTTTAATATCACAGGTCTAGGTGCTAGGCTTTAAGGTCTCCAGGTTACATCCTCTTGTAACAGTCGTAATTGTGCAGTGTCTCTTTAAGTATTGCTACTACACTGCCTCTCTGTAGAGAGCGTGGGAGAGTTGCAGCCCTGGACAGTAGGGCTGCAAATCTGTCAATTATTTTTTCAATTAATCGATTAATAATTGCATAGCCAAAGGTTGCTTAAAGATTTTTTTTTATGAAATTAAACCATGTGAAACTAAAACTTTTCTACTGAAGGAGTTCTTTTTATAGCATAGTAAATTATATAAAATTGTTGTTTTGTTTTTATCATAAATGCTAATTGCTAAATGCTAATTGCTGCTCTAAGTGGGTTGCTCTGTCAGCTAAAAGCATGTTTTAGAGTTTCTATACTGTAGTAAATGATTAATCGATTACTAAATTAGTTGAGAATTATGTCAATAGTCAATTAATCACGATTAATCCGATTAATTGTTTCAGCCCTACTTGACAGATTACCACATAGACCTTAAACATATAACCTCATAATTGAGCAGGTGACTTTGCTGTAAGTGTTTTTCTCTGGTGTACCTATACAATTATGCAGATTATCTATGTTTTATGTTCACTGTCTTGAGTGATGTATCATGTCCATACAGTGATATTCAAAAGGATCTTCCTTATAGTTGTTTTTCTATTAAAGAAAATATCCTACATAAATAAAAATAATTTTTTTTTTTCAAAACAAAACAAAAAAACAAGCTGTTATTGTTTTATTCCATTTAAATTTACAGAATTTTACTGCTGACAGCCTTAAATTAAACATTCTTTTGGATTCACCTCAACAACATGCAGAAAATAACCTGTAATTAATTTGGACCAGCAGCTTTAAATTAATCACGGTTAATGTTAAAATCTATTTGAATTAGAAAATTATGTGAATATCATCAAAGTTCAAATGCACTGAATTCAAAGAGAGAAAAAATACATAAGGCATGTTGTATTTATTTCCCTGCACCAACAAGTGAAAAATGTAAACATATAAAGTTAAGCATGAAAACAAATACACATAAAAAGTTACAACACAAACACAGCAATCTGCTACAGAGCTACAGACACATTTCTAAAGGAGGAAAGTTCCAAGACATCATTGTGTAACAACAGGTTGGTGTATGGGTGACAGCCCTGGGTTTGGGCCAAACAAGCGACAGACATGCCAGTTTATTTGGACAAAATAATATTTTTATACCGGTACTTATTTTTTCAGCAGCTACACAGTTTATTTTCATACAGAGAAGCAGTTGATGGAGGTTTTGGGAGATATCCAGTCAGACATCCACAACATGCAGCTGTTGGTTGTCTGCATGCAACAATATTTATCATATTAATATAAAAACTAAGAATGATCATTCAAATGCTACATTGTTTCAAACTAAGAATACATTTTTTTTTTTGTATGTTCATGAGATGCAAAACAGCAATTCAATATCATTACTAAAACAAATTAAATAACGGTATAATTCAAATAAAATCAAGTGAAAAACAAAACAAAAGGATTCACAGCATAACTTCTCTTATCAGTCCTATATCTAAGCTGTCATTTTATACGAAATAAATTATAGACAAATGTACTAAATAAATTAAACTGTAAACAATGATCCCACTATCAGTCAAGCAAAGCTACATCTCAGAGAGAACTGCTCCTGCCTTACATGCAGTCAGCCACACATTCACACAGCGAACAGTTTACCAAAGCCAAAACATTACAATTGCACACAGATGCTGCAAATGCTTTAGGCTTGCAGGGCTAATTACAACAATCAAACAGTAGAGGGCGATGTTTGCTCATGTTTCGATGTTGCATCCTTTGCACAAACATGCTACAGTGCCATTCAACATACATGGCCTATTTTCTGATGAGTGTAGTTTTTAAAAATAAAATTGAAATTCATTGATCTTTTTTAGTGTATATTGGGGAATTACAAAGTGTTTTAACCAGACATTTAGTCAAGTATGCAGAAACTGACCTTCTTAGATGGAAGGCACTAAAAAAAAAAAAAATCTAAATTTTTGTATTATTCATCTGGGTAAGAAGTAAAAAAATAGCATTTCATTTGATATGCAATTATGAAATTTAACTCATTTTATTTAGATGCATCTTTCCACAATACATTTGAAATTAGCATATTTTTTGGTCCTACTAAGATCACCAAGGATGCATATCGCCAAATAGATTCCTTGTGGTTGGAGCATGCTAAGTAGTGGTCTGGTTAAAGGCCATTCAAACAGATACATCCTAAGATGAGATCATGCAAATTTAATGCAGTAATGGTGATAACAGAAAAACATTTTTTTGGGGGGTGGGGCATGTTTACTTAGGGCATGCCATGAAAATGCACACGTGACATAACACTGACCAGAGCACAGAGACACAAGCTCAAACCTCTCTGCATTTCGACCTGTTATGCTACATCTCTGTTATCTTCATTCACTCCTTTCTCTGCACTCTCAGGCTCTCTGAGGAAGAGTGATGTAATGTGACCCACACTCTGTACTGAAGAAACCTATATGCTGTGCATCCGACAGGTTGCATCCAACCTTGGTCTGGTTGAAAACAATTGCTTACACACCCTACCAACCCGTTCTCTTCGCATGCTACCTCAATGTTGTGCAAAACAACTAATTTTCCACAAGTCCTGTCCCAATCCATTTCCACATTGCTCCAAAGACTTTCTTCCAGATTTTTCTTGATGGATTAGGATCAGGTAGGTGTTTGATCCTTCCTCAGTACATTCTCGAAGTTTAAAACAGAGATAATTCATGCAGGCAATCTGGGCTCGATCTTAAGTGAGAGATCATAGAGCGTGTCCTCGTCCATGGTCAGAGTCTTATCCATAAGATACTGAGTGACCTAAGCCAGAAAGGCAAGTGGGGGGGAAAAAAAGTGTTATTCATGCTGGTTTGGCATAGTTGCACCACATAGCTGAGAGAATTACATGTCTGAAATATTTCACACAAAAATATAAAAAATGACATGGGTGATTTTATAAGAGTTCTGTGTATTTCTTCAATAAACTGTTTCCAATGCAGACAGTGGTGATCCCTTTCCAAATTCTCCACATTTTGCTTTCCCAGAGTTGGGGTGGATGTCTTATCAATCATTTAATCCCTAATCCTTGCAATGGACAATGAATGCATGTTTTGAATTTTAGCCTTAAGCATAAAAAATGTGGGCAGTTGGATAACAAATGAAGGAATTTTTAATTTAAAAGAAAATATTCACTCCACATCAAGAGTATCTGACAGGCAAGACTTAAAAAAATCTAACAAATACCTGACAGATAAGACAACATTTTGAGCTTATAGCTCTTAGAGAACTATTAAGCTGTTGCTGAACTAACATGAACATTTTAACTAATCCAAAGATGTTGAAAAAAATAGTGACAGGATTGTAAGTAGGAAAATAACAAATTTTCCAACTCAAAACTGTCTCATTTGAAATTTGGTTGCATGAAGTTAAAAGTTGCATAAAAATGCTGTAAGGAGGGAGCACAATTACCCAACTCATCAGAGAATACCACCCGTCATAGTATCCAAATATATGCACATATTTTGCACTTTTGAATCTACTCAAAATTACTCTCTTTATTAATAGTTAATAATATTTTCTCTAATGCTAAAATATTAATCAACATTTTTTTCCCTCTGGACAGTAAAAACAACACATTTTCTGTAAGAAATGTCAAATTTAAATCTTTCCCTTTTAATTTAATGCAAATCTGCAACAAATTACTCCAGAAATTGAGACACTGCAGCACAAAATTTAAAAAGAAGTACCTTAGGTTGATGCTCTATTCTGTAAGGTGTCTGCTGAAACTGTCTGATCTCTCGGATGATATGTGATATCTAATGGAAATGTAGAGAAAAAAAATATACTTAATGAACAAAAGAAGCCCAATACATA